TAGGCATCTGTGTTTGCTACGTATGATGCACTGATGATGCACGTATGATGCACTGCCTTGCAGTGCCTGTTGCTTTCCTGGGCTACGGTATCTTTTACTTAATGCAATAAAGAATGTTTTCAAGGCCAAAAAAAATTATATATTGAAAAGAAACACAACTGCTTGGGAAACAGAAAGGACATGACACATCTGTGCTGTGTGGGAGAAGGGAAGGGGGCGGGGTGAGGAACGGGACAATCACAGATTTGCGTATGTCCTGTTATCATACTCAGCCTTCCTGTCTAGAGTGCCGTGCAATGAGTGCTGCACTTCAGGCTGGCTAAGACGCATGGTGATGGGGGTTGAGTGCAGTGGGTAAGGATCATGGTTTGCAGGGCTGGGTGGTGAAGCTACAGGTGTTGGAGGCAGCTGGTGGCGATAAGAAACCAGATGTTGGGGAAAGTGGGTTGGCAGTGACATGGGGGCACAAGGGAAAGAGTTTTGGGACAAGGGCTAGAGGTGGGGCAGGCGAGGATGTGCTCCATCTGCATCGAGCACCTGTATCGAGTCCGCTTGGCGCTCCATTCTGCTTAGCAGCCACTCAGTGCTTTGGTGCCGGCGATCTGCATTCTGCTGACGGAGCCTCCTTTCAGTCTCCCGCCACTCCTGCACTTTTTGATTTTCATTAAGGGACTGCTGCACTCTTTGCTGCTTCGGGGTCACTTCCTGATTCTTTGGAGTCTTTCGGCCGTTGATAACAAGGACGGCTGGGATCTCAAGGTTGCATCTGTAAAGCCAAAATGCAACACTTAACAGAGGCAGCATTGTTCCCACCAGACAGAGCAATGATTCGGCCGTACTTAAAGACAAGCACAGTCTACACAATAGCAGAAATTGCCCGTCCCAAAGCGAGCGCACATGACCCACAGGAGCCCCAAAATGGTGAGTAAGCACAGGGGCAAGGGGGACTGATTGTTTCACAGCCGTACTGTCCTCTGGGGTTCTGTGCCTTGGGGAGAGCCAACAGCTGCAGGGGGCCCCTATACTGAACACTGTCCCCGCATTTTCCACAGGATGAGTTCGTCCTGGAAGATATCTCGCTGCTGAGGGTGACCTGGGAAGCAATGGAGGGTCTTCTACTACAATGCGGCTTCCGTCCTGGCCCATATGCAGCTTGCCTGTGTGCAGCAATGGTCCCCCCGCCCCTCACGGCACAGTGACGCGGACATGTTAGCCTGACTGGGACAAGGAGCACAGTGGCTCTGCCAAGGAACCTGCGCAAGCGGATTGCCCAGCTTCTGCATGAGACCTTTGAAGAGATCACTGAGGCGGTGTGAAAGAGCACATCACCACCCTATTCCGCATCTAGGCATGCACACTCAGCCCTAACCCTCCTCGCCCCAAGAGCCCGCACTGAACAACTACCTTCCCAAAATAAAAGCCACTTACCGGGCACTTCCTCTGCTGTTTGTTCTTCCCCAAGCACCATCCACTGGGACTGGCTACCTACCTTCCTCCTGGCTTGAAAACAGCTCCTGGCTGCATGCATCTAGAGATGCCAGGCCGCCCTCTGGCTCTGGGCCCCTGTCCTCCTCAGCACCCTCGCTCCCACTGTCCTCCTCCTGTCTTGTTGAACTCTGTGCTGCTACGGTCTCTGAAGTGTCCATGATGGTCTTCGTAGTGGAGGTGGGGTTGCCCCCAAGTATCACGTCCAGCTCTCTGTAGAAACGGCAGGTCGTGGGGGCATCACTGGAGTGGTGGTTTGCCTCCCGCGCTTTGTGGTAGGCGTTCCGCAGCTCCTTCACTTTAAGTCTGCACTGCAGTGTGTCCCGGTCATGGCCCCTTTCCATCATGGCCCTTGATATCTGCCCCAAGGTATCATAATTCCTACGGCTGGAGTGCAACTGGGACTGGATGGCTTCCTCCCCCCCAAACACTGATGAGCTCCAGCACCTCGCCATTGCTCCATACTGGGGATCGCCTGGCGCGGGGAGGCATGGTCACCTGGAAAGGTGCGCTGAGAGCACTCCACGCTTGGCTGAGCAAACTGGAAGGGGGATTTCAAAATTCCCAGAGAATTTAAAGGGCAGGTCTGACAGTTGGTCACCTGAGGGCAGGGCAGTAGAGTTCAAAGTGATGACCAGAGTGGCTAGAACAGGCATAGTGGGACACTTCTGGAGCCGATCAGAGCGCATCAATAGACCAGGGTGTCCATACTGGCGCTGCGGTGCTCCATCCGGGGCTTAGCAAGCGTTATGCTTCTCATAGAGGTGGATTACCAGAGGCGCTCCAGCCGCGGAGTCTGGGTGCTCTATGTGCCTTGCCACTGTGGGCACCTCAGGAGTTAGGGTGCCCGGGGCTGACTTAATGTGCTTTAACTTGCAAGTGTAGCCAAGCCCTAAGTGTGTGCAGGGTCAGTTACATATTTAAATATTTTACTTGGTCTGAAAAATAACCATCTTCTCCTCTCTCCCCCCCCGCCCCCACCCACCGGGCCTCACAGATCAGCCTCTAGGCAAGGTGTTTGTCGGTAAGGAGCTGGCCTACGCTGATTAGTCTCTTCCACCTCTGAAGAACCTGATCCTACGAATACAAAGCCCCAGCAAACAACTGTGTGGCAAGATCTGAAACCTGTTTTGCTGTGGTGCCTTGTTTATTGCCCTGGATGGAGGAAGCTAGGTTGGTAAGGTGGAAAACATTGTACAATTGTGCTGACCTGGTGGGAACCCTCACGGCCTTGAAATGGAGAAGGAAAACCTAAATCTTGCTGCGTGTTAATGCTGAGTTAGCAAACAGGAAATTACTCATAGAGGGAGCGAGCAGGCAGGCAGGCAGCTGGGACCCAGCTGTGGCTGGGAGAGAACTACAGTTCCCAGCCTGCTGTGCGCCGGGTGACGCCAGCTGGGTTGCACGTGGTGCTTAATCAGCTCCCTAAGGAGCCCGGAGCCGGTGCCCAGAGCCAGGAGTGGGACCGTGGGAGGCTTTTTGTCCCCGTTCCGCAGGTAGGAGTAAGGGGCGGAGGCTGTGCGATTCCGGGGGGGGGGCTTTGTGGCTGGGCTGGGCTGGGGGGGCTGGTGGTTTAATGAGCACAGGAGTCCCCGGCCCCAATGGCCAGCAGAGAGGGGTTCGGTGCCCGTATGCACCAACTCCCCGGTATGCTAGGCCCTCCTTTCCCTCCCACTGCAGAGGTGGGTATCAAAACAGGTTCCCTAGCCCACCCCTTCTTCCCATCCCCTTGTAGGCATCAGTACAGGAGCCCTCAGGTAGTGGCCTCCTCCCCATCTGGGTTAACTAAACAGGCTCTCTAGGAGCTATATGTTCATCAGTTCCCTTTCGGGGCTGAAATAGAGCCCTGGAAACCCACCGCCACCCACACGCTTCTGTGGAGGCACCCATGTGACACCTCCGCAGCCATGGATGCTGCTGTAGGGCCCATGGTGGAGCTGCCCACTGTGGACAGTGGACCTTAACCATCCCGGCACCCACCATAAAATGAGGATTACTGTTCCCTGTGAGGTGCTTGGGGCAGGCTCTCGGCTTGCCCTTCCCCAGTCTTTTGTCCCCATTTTCTATGCTAGTGGGTCTGCTCTTTTGTCAGGCTGGTGTGCGAAAGGTGGTTTGTTGTTTGCCTGGCTGGCGTTTTCCTACTGCAGCCTCCATGTGGCCTGGCTGTGCTGTGACTGAGGGTCAGCAGTGGCAGACGGTAGGGCATGGAGCTAAGAGTCTTTCTCCTGGTTACAGTGTCCCTGCTCTCAGCAGATGTCAGGGTTAGACTCCCCACAAGGAAGCTCTGCGGTGGAAGCAAGGGTTTAAAAGTTTCTGCAGGCAGTGTCGTTCTTCCAGATGGAGTCATAGGAATCGTTCTGCGACTAGCCATCTAGGTCCAATGAAGTTTGAGCCTCCTGGCTGTAAGCAGAGACAGATGCCACCTGCTTCATAGGAGGGGCTGATACCCTCTACTACACCTGATGGACTGCGCCATGCTATTTGAGGGTTTAGTGTGACATAAGTCGGGACTGGAGAACGTTTATTCCTGACATTATGAAGTTTGCTGCCAGCATGGATATTGCAGTATGCAAGGCAAGGGAATCTGCTTTGCTAGGTCAACTCACTGGATGACTATTGCAATAATTGGAACCTGGCCCTGGGGGGAAATTTTATCTAGACCCTAGATGGCAATCTGTTTCATACCCATAAACGTTGACTGGTAACCTTATTACTACTTCCTAGTTACCCTACCCTGGTTCTTGTCCAGGTATGGATCTAGTTTAATAAGCTTCAGAAGAAAAATATCTATCTCAGTGCTGTCCTGTACATGTGAGTTCCACTAGTTAACTACGTAGTAGGTTAGAAGTTATTTATGAATTTGGATATGTGTGCCCTCAGCTGGCTTTCACCCTGGAAGGGTGACTTGCTCAGTAATCATACAGAGCTGTTTGACGTCAATCTCAGGACTGTGTGAGGAGATGCTGTTCTCAACCTGCTGCTCAAAAGTGCTCCACGCTGTATGTAGTGTTTTGAAGACATCCACTTTCCTTGTTAACCAAGAAAACAATGGGGAGGTTATAAAGAGCAACTCATACCTTCCCCAGGTGTGACTGCTCCTCAGGTTCCTCCCACAAGAATGCTCAGCCCACAACCAGGATCCTCTTTCCCCATAGAGCCCTTCCCAAGTCACTTATGTGGGTCTAACCTGACTCAGTACTTAACTGCTTCCCCAAGAGATCAGGAGCCATTAACAGGTTTGAGGCAAATACTGCTGGCCTGTTAATTTTATGGTTTAGGTTTGTTTTCTCTAATCCCGTGCTATAATGCTGATGCTGCATGGCTGAGTTATACTTTGAGTAAGATCCTGGATGACAAAGCAGGTAGCTTATTTTACTAATGCTTGGGTCTTAGTTGATGATCCCATGATAGGGCAAACTCCAGTCTGCTCCTCATTCCTGTCTGCATGTTCCCGGCTTCCTGATCAGCACTAAAATGAGCTGAATAAATACACTGTGGAGCTCTGAATTGCACCAATTGGTGTCATTACTGTTTTGTGGTGGAAGGAGGGAAGTATCTCTTGCCTCATATAAGAGCTAATCCAGTAACTGTGCATAATGGGACTGATGAAGGACAGTATAAAGGCCCTCCTTGCTGGGGAAGGGAGGAAAAATGAGGTCCAACTCCTAATTCAAGCTGCTTCTCTGCATCATGACCAGTTTGTAATTAGTGTACCTCAGTTGTAAACAGAGCTTTGGGGACAAAGCAACCAGTGCAGACATGTGAGTAATGCTTCTGTGATTAAAAGTAACCTGGATTTGTGTCCTCTTGATTTTTTTTTCTTTGTCTTTCCTACTTTTTAACCCTTGGGGAGTTTAAATTTTTCTTTTCCTTGTTTTTGCTGGAGAGATCTTTGGAGGACCTACAGCAACAGACTGGCAGCTTTCTCAACCCATGATTCAGGGGTTAGAGAAGTTGCAGCTTGAACAAAGATGCCTTTCCTCCCAACTGTGTGTCGGGTATTTGACTTAGCAGCATTAGCAAAACCCAAAAGATTTTAAACAGTCTAAATAAAAATCACTTCCTCTTTCAATGAATCAAGTTTTACTTCCTTGGTACTTGGAGAGGACAAGTTCATAGAATCTTCCAAGAGAAATGGGAAAACAAGATCTGCATTTCTAATGGAAAAATAGACCTTTTAGGCCTCCTTTCCTCAGCACACAGAAGCAAACAAGGGCATAATCTCTCTTTATTATTGTGAACTGTAGCACCTAGGAGCCCTAGACGTGAACTCAGGCCCCTTTGTGCTGGGTGCTGTACAAACACAGAACAAAAAGATGCTCCCTGCCCCAGAGAGCTTACAGTCTCATCTCTTGCCACTACCTTCTGCGTGTCCCCTTTAAGCACCGGCAATAGCTCTTAGCGTAAGGGGAGGATTTCATAGACTTGTGCATCTCTGAGCTCCAGAGCTGAGGATCTTACACAAAGGTGGGGATCCCCAACCTAGCAATGGTGTTGTGGTGTCCTTTTGTGATGAGTGTGAGAAGCCATAGAGGATGCCTGGGATAGGGGGGATGTGGAGTGAAGTGCCCCTCCAGATTTCTGCTTGGCCTGCCGGGGGTGAGAGAGAGGGTGAGTCCCTGGCAGCCGGGGCGAGGCACTTTCCATGCTGGCTGTCCTGGATCACAGCTCTGTGCAGCCTGATGGCTGCCTGAGAGAGAGGCGGGGGCGGGAGGGGGGCGAAAGGGGGTGGACCTGCCCCGCCCCACCCCTTCTGCTTCCCACCCCAGCCTGGCTGCTGGGGACAGGGTCTGACTGAGCAGGAAATGTGCCGGGGGAGGGGGAACTCCGGCTCGCTCTGTCCCTGTACCCAGCAGCCAGGCTCCGGTGGGCCAGGCCGCTGCCCCAGCCAGGTGCTCTCCCAGGCCACTGCAGTGCACAGAGTCAGCAACCCGGAGTGGCCAGCTTCAGCCAGCGTGAAAAGTGGCTTCCTCCTGCTCGGGCCTCGTTGCCAGGGAGAGCAGCCAAACATGCCGTGGGAGAGGCTCAGCGGGAGACGGACAGACCTCACCCCATGCGCCACCCCCCCCCCCCCCAGGTAACTCTGGTGGGGCGGGGAGAGCGCAGCAGCCCTGGGCGGTTGCTGAGCAGAGGAGACACGTGGGGCGTCCTGAGGTGCTGCCTCTGCTTGGCTCTGCGCTCCTGTCATTCCAACTGGCAGCTCTTCAAGTCTTGCCCTGAACTTTGTCCCAAAGGAGGACAAGGGCTTTTGCTGTGTTTGCAGAAATGTGGGTTGGAAATAAGGAAGTTGGCTTTGAAATACAGGTGTGTGTGTGTGTGTGTGTGTGTGTGTGTGTTTTTGAATTAATTTTAGTGACCAGGCACCAGTTTCGCAGCCCTGCGGCTTGAAGTTCTCTCGAGCCACGTGGCGGGTGCAGCATAGACCACGCGAGCAGTGCAAGCGGCTCACCCGCTGTGCCTCAACTCTGACGTAGAGGGGCCAATTGTTCAGAGACAGGAGCTCTCTTTCTGTCTGTCCCACCCCTGGGTCTGTCAGCTGAGACAAAGATGACCAGTTGTGGTGACGGCGTGCAAAAATCCTTATCGCAGGTGACAGTAGAGCTGGGCCGTCTAGCTCAGACAGCAGAGGGTCAAGCTGTAAGAACCGAAGGTCCCAGATTGGGTTCCCACTGCTTACGACCCGCCCAGGATGCAGTGTCCTATTTAAATGAGAGGTTAAGTTGTGCAGCAGCAGGTCGAGTACAAGAGGAGTGTTGGTCCAGCAAGCCAGCTGTGTCTAGCCTGATTTTCATATACACTTGATGGCGGTGTGGATTTGATTTAAATCACTAATCAGGAAGACTCGATTTAATCATGGATTTCTACATAAAAGTACATTCGTGTTGATTGTTATAACCTTGATACATATTCTTCCCAACTCAGAGAGAGGTTTCCTTTTTAGAAGGTACACCCTATCCATTTTTTAAGTGATTTATTTTGAAAACTTTTCAGATTAATTTTACAGCTATATCAGAGAATGAATGATTATTTCATTTACCAAAAATAATTGAAGCAGATAGTTCACCTCCCAATGACTTCATACTTCTCTCCAATTCAACAGGTTAATCATTAATATTTGGAGGATTTTCTTGCCATGGTGTATGAGGAGGAGAACATCACCAGACAGACATTTAAATTGTTTTATTTAACTAAAACAACAACGTTCTGTATTCTGGATTTTTTTTCTTGAACAACAAACATATGCTTATTTTGTTAAAGTACTATATGAATTTTTGAATTTAGTTAAACATTCAAGTTTTTTAAAATCAGGTTTGTTTTTGTTAAAATTGTTTTTAACTAAAATAGTTAAATTAAATATTAAAACTTAAAAAAAAAACAGCCATTTTTGCTATTATCAAGCATGTTATCTCTGGAGACACAAATCCACAATTTGAGAACTGCAAAACTAAGCATCTCTGATGGTATCTTCTAGACTGAGCACTGAGTCCCATTGGTAGATAGAAAGATTAACCTAAATAATCTATACAGAAGCCCCCGGAACCCCATAAAATTGGAACTCCTTTACAAAACTTTTCTTAAATATTACATGGTACATGATACACCTCTACCCCGATATAACCCCCCAAAAATCTTACCGTGTTATAGATGAAACTGCGTTATATCGAACTTGCTTTGATCCGCGCCCCCCCCCCCTCCCCGGAGCACTGCTTTACCGCGTTATATCGGAATTCATGTTATATCGGGCTGCATTATATCAAGTAGAGGTGTATATTGTCTCATACTATAGAATTAGAATTTATAATCCCTATTCCAGGATGGGATACATTCTAGCTCAAAGATACCGTAATTAAAACTATCTTTAGATAGGTTTTTTCCTCAAAAAGCATTTTATCAAAACAAATCTGATTTGTTTTATTTTAATAATTGATTTTTATCCACCCTGCTTGATGGTGATGCTCCTCCTCTGCTCCTCTTCTAGGTGCAGTAAAGTAGCCTGAACTCTGTGCCTGGCAACCCCTGGACAAGGCCACCTGTGACCGTAGCAGGAATATGGGTCTGCCTGCTTTGTGACCCCTTGGAGGCTGGGGCCGGATGGAGTCGATGTGGGCTGGTGTTCCCTTTGCCTGAGGTCTTGGCCTGGTGATGAGGCACTAGAGAGACGCAGAGAGCGGTCAGCGCGCGGCCGGACGGGGAAATGGCCCAGCACAATGTGGGGATCAACAGGGAGTACGGAGACTGGGACTGGAGCGCGGACGCCGGGGAGCGGGCAAGGCTACTGCAGAGCCCCAATGTGGAGACCGGGCTGAAAAGCGACGAGGGGCAGAGACCCGGAGCGGGGACCACTTCCACCCTCGGGGCCGTCTTCATTGTGGTGAACGCTGCCCTCGGGGCTGGGCTGCTCAACTTCCCTGCAGCCTTCAGCACTGCGGGCGGCGTGGCTGCAGGGATTGCGCTGCAGATGGTGAGCCGGGCAGCCCTGGGGGAGGGGCTGTGGGGGCCTGGGGTTCCCTGCAGGAGACATCCTAGCAAATGATCCCACTCACTGCTCCAGAGCCAGGTGGTAGGCCGAGCCCGGGGCCTACCATCTGTCTGGGTGGGCTGGGGCATTGGCTTGAGGCGCCAGAGGTCTGACTGCCCTGCTCTGCCCACAGTCCCTGCTGGTGTTCATTATTGGAGGGCTGGTGATCCTGGCTTACTGCTCGCGGGCCAGCAACGAGCGCACGTACCAGGAAGTGGTGTGGGCTGTGTGTGGCAAGGTCCCTGGCGTGCTCTGTGAGGTCGCCATCGCCGTTTACACCTTTGGCACCTGCATCGCCTTCCTCATCATCATCGGGGACCAGCAGGACAAGAGTGAGTGCTCAGGGCTGCCCCGGCCCTGGGCCAGCCCCCTGAGAGGGAGAGGAGGGTGTTACAGCTGGGGGAGAGGGTGGCGCAGAGGGGAGCCTGTTTCTCTGCAGGTGACGGGCATTTTCTGTGCCCCATCCTGGCAGCCTGTGCTGGGCCCGGCAGCCCTCAGGAGCCAGGTGGAGGGGATGCTCTGAATGACTACCACACAGACTTGCAGTCTGTCGGGTTCCTTTCGCCAGACCCTCCAGCATCCCAGGGCTGAACTGCCAGAGCTGGGGCCTCTGAGCTCCCTGCCTCTGATTCAGAGCAGCTTCCATTCCTCTTCCTCCTCCCCATGTTCCCTGGCCCAGGTTTGAGATCTGCCCTCTAGCGAAAAGTTGGCATTGGGCTTGGTTGTGCCCCAACCACACTGTTCTACCCTTGTCTCCTCACCAGTCATTGCTGCGCTGGTGAAGGATCCCCAGGGGGCAGGTGGCAGCCACTGGTACGCGGACCGCAAGTTCACCATCAGCATCACGGCCTTCCTCCTAATCCTGCCCCTCTCCATCCCGAAGGAGATTGGCTTCCAGAAATACGCCAGGTGGGTGGCTGGGAAAAGCTGAACTGGAACTGTGGGTGGGAGGATGCTAAAGGGACAGGCAGGCAATTGATGTGTGTTCTAAGATGGCAGCAGAGCCCAATGAGTAGGGCACTGGACAGGGATCAAGGAGACCAGGGTTCTAGTCCCTGCTCTGCCAATAAACTCAGTGACATTCGGCAAGTCCCTTCACTGCTCTTTGCCTCGGTTTCCCCACTGTAACATGGGGTGTAAAGTGCTTTCAGGGCCTCGTATGAAAAGCATTGTATAATTACGTCTCTGAGGCAATATATCACAAGCGCCCCTTTCTCCAGCTCTTCCATACCAAGTCGTAGTAGGAGAATGGGGTGGCGGGAGTGGGTTCCCTGTGTCTGTGGTTTCTCCCTGGGGACAATGAAGATGGTCCCATAGGTAAGCAGGTGTCATGTCTCTGCTAACACTTTCCTTTGCATGTCACACTGTCCCCAGAGTGAGCAGTGGGAGCACAGGCATATACAGACGTCTGCTGCTTTAACCACCAGGTCCTCTAATTGCTTGGAGCAGGGCTAGACAACAGGAGATGTTCTGGTTTAGAAAATCAGTGGCCATTGGTGGCTGGTTTATCCTAAGGCTACCACTGAAGGAGCTGGATTGATGGTAGCGATGGTGGGAGATTGGAAGGAGTCAGGGTCAGGGAGAGAGAATTGGGTGGGATGTAGTGGGATATCATAGCTGGGTCCCCTGGGAGAACCGTGGGAATGTACCAGGAAAAGGGAGATGCCGTTGGAAGATGTCCCTGTCCAGGCTCACCAGAGTCTCGCCAGCGAGGCTCCGAACGAGGAGCAAGAGTGAGCAGAGGCGAGGCGAGGCGCAGCACTGTCATCTGTCCAGTCTTTTCTTTCTTGCAGCTCCCTGAGTGTGATTGGCACCTGGTATGTCACCGCTGTCGTCATCATCAAATACCTCTGGCCTGACAAGGAGATTACCCCAGGGCACATCCCCACACGGTACGCGAAAGCGGCACCCATGCATGCTTCAAAACCAGGCTGTATCAAGTCCCAAGTTAGATTAGGGAGATAAAGGGGTGGCCCTATACCGGAAATCCCTGCCCCTCCCGTCCCAGAGCAGCTGTCTGATTCTGATCAGCAGTGAAAGGGCTAATGATGCTGAAATGCAAACATTCAGAGTGGGAATGTATGACCGAGTTCGGTCTACGTGTCTCCAAGAGCTGCTCTTTTGGTCTGGCTGCAGGCTCAGGCAGACAGCCCACCATTGGGCTGCTTCTGGAGGGTTTGCTTTGCAACTGGATGGTTAAGAACTCTTTGAATTAAAACTTTTAAATGAATATATTTTAAGTGAAGCTGCTTATTCCAATCCCCACAGGGAAATTAAATCCACTTTCATAATGTGTGTAAACGCTGACTCATGCCAGCCAGGTGCCTTCTCTGTCCCACTGTTCTACAGGATGGGAGAGTTGATTAGTTCCCTGTGGGTCTCCCAGTGCATTTTGTCCTGGAGGATTGTAAGATCCTTGGGGCAGGGACTGTGTCCATCTCTGATTTGTACAGCACAGAGCGCACTGTTGGTTCTTAAATGACAGTCTGCAGAAATGTCCGGTACACCAGACAAGCACTGGCCTTGGGTGCCACCAAGTATCTATCCCCGTTATCACTGCTGCCTTGCTTGTATTTCCCCACTTGAAATCCAGCATAGTCTTTAGCAGTCAGTATTCTAGCTGGGCGATGAATACTTAAACTGGGAAGACGGGTTCTTAGCTGTTATACCCTGGTTCTTGCTCTGACAGCTTTTAAGGCAAGAGGCTAATGAGAATAATGTGTTTTTTGTTTTGTTTTTTAAAGTCTGGTATCTTATGAGCCATCAGGGCTAGAAAGAGCTGCTATATGTTATGGGGAAACTGGGATTTCCGAATGGTTAGAGAGGAAACCTTAACATAGTCACTCAGAACAGGCAAAAATATAGGGTGTTTTCCAGGCAAGTCAGCTTTGAATAATCTGGCAATGGACAAAATACCCAACAGGTCTCTTCTCTAGTTATAAATCTTGTACAACAAATAACATCAAATATCAATAATGAAGGAAAACAATGGAAGTATAATCCATTTGGCCAAAATGAAATGTAATGGATTATATTGTGCTGTACGGGGAAGCAAAGGCTGTTGTCCTTTGTTAAATTTATCAGTAGATACAAAGTGGTGTATTTTATGGCACATTTCTGGGAGAACAAGAGATTTGGTTCACTGGTCTCCAGTAGTGTTTCAAATTAGGTTCTCTTCTCTGCTAATGGGTCACTAGATGGCACTCTGCTCTTTTGAGTCAACGTCCCGGCATTGTGTGTTAGAGCACTGTGCCATCTTCTGGATGAGACGTAAAACCGAGGCCTTGATCACTTGTTGCCATTTTAAAAATTCCCTCTCTTTGCAAGCGTCCTGGCCAATTTCATCTTAGGTGATTAAATTCTGTCCACCTCACCCTCGAGTATTCCCCTTTGTATGTGTGCCGCAAAAGAAGGCCTCGCTATCCTTTTTATGTTGGTCAAATAATATGATGATTTTCTTATGTAGCATTGCACCCATCATCCATACTGTGGTCAAACAGATTTTAGATCTAGCCTGATAATCTAATCTCCCTTATATTTGCTTAGTACCTTATAGAGAATTTTCAGAGCAAACTAAACAGGGATAAGAGGGAGAAACAGGCCAAGATTTTCAACAGTGGCTTGTGACTTTCCAAGTACACCTCTACCTTGATATAATGCTGTCCTCGGGAGCCAAAAAATCTTACCGCGTTATAGGTGAAACCACGTTATATCGAACTTGCTTTGATCCACCGGAGTGCGCAGCCCCGCCCCCCGGGGCACTGCTTTACTGCATTATATCCGAATTCGTGTTGTATCGGGGTAGAGGTGTATCTCCGTTTTGGGGGTACCTGACTTGAGATGACTTTTAGAGGGACCTGATCTTTGAGAGGGTGGATGCTCAGCACTTTGTGAAAATCAGGGCCCTTTAAGGTGTCCAGTGGGGCACCCCAAAAATCACTAGTGCCCTTTGAAAACATTGACCACTGCATGTGCGGGGAAGCCTCCAGTCGCTGTGCAGAACTGCAGTGAAATGAGCATGCCCTGGTGCACCCCGCAAATGCCGTCTGGAGGGTAACTGTACATGTGCTGTTGAGATCTGCTATTTAACCCAAGTATCTGTGCTGGCAGCTAGGTCTGAACTGGTTGTGATTTTCCTCTCCGCAGCCCCTCCTCCTGGATGGCCGTGTTCAACGCCATGCCCACCATCTGCTTCGGATTCCAGGTACAGCTGCTCCCGGGAAGACCTGGGCCGATGGAGATCTAAGACAAGTTAGGAGCAGGAAATGTCCATCTGTCTCATTTCCTGACCCTCTTTTGGATTAATTTTCATCCCCCCTCTCCTTTGCTTTAATACCAAGGCTCCTACTGCCCCTGCCTGGGCCTCAGACTGATGTGGGGTAAAGCCCTAAAGTGAAGGATGCCAGCAAAACAGAGTCTTAAAATGACCACTGAAGCTGAGGACAGAGATGACCTGTTGTGCTCCACTTAGTCCCTTTTTTGAGGCCAGAACTGGCTTGTTCCCTGCAAGACCTTGTCAAGTGTTGTGTCCAGTCTAGTTCTAACTGGCCCAAGTAACAGGATTTCCACCACTTCCTTGGGAGATTGTTCCCCAGCCAGAGAGAGAGAGATCTTGTGCTCAGGGTGTTTCCCTGGGAGTCCCTTTAATTTCACTTCAGTATTCCAAATTATGCTCCTACCTCGGTCTGAATAACACTCCTGAGCGTTCACACCCTCCCAGTGTTTGCAGATTGTTATTCTGTCGCTTAGCCACGCCATCTATATTCGCTGTTCTCCTGTCCTCCTCCATCAGTCCCCTGCCCCGCCCCCTGGCCTGTTTTCCTTGCTGGGCAGTGGCATCCAGCGGGCTGAGTAGGAAGAGGGATGCTTTCGCCATCCATGACATTTCCCATCGTGTCAGTTTCACAGCCAAGCGTTTCCCTGCCAGCACACGGCCTGGCTTTGTGCTGGACGGATCCGGGGTGGGTAAATTAGACTGAACCCAAGGAACAGCTGAGAGGTGAGCTCCCCTTGTCCAGAAACAAATCCAGGTGTCTCTTAACTCAGTTACGGTCTCTGCTTCAGTCGCCTTCCCTGGTAACATGTTTCAGTGTGTGGAGGGGCTGCCTGCCTTTGTGTCCCCTTCCTCTCCCATGATCAGGCTGGTGTCGATGGGTCCTGCCTGGAGCACAGAACGCCTGGCCCAGCAGCCCCTTGCATGCTCTCTTTCTATCTCTGGCAGTGCCACGTGAGCAGCGTGCCCGTCTTCAACAGTATGAAGCGGCCCGAGGTGAAGCCGTGGGGAGCGGTGGTGACAGCAGCCATGATTATCGCTCTCTTTGTCTACGCAGGGACAGGTAGGAGCAAGGCCCTTGTTCTCTGGCCAGCCCACGGGGCCCAGCCAGCAGTACGTTCTCTTGAAAGACTTCGGTTGGGGAAGCTGCGAGCTTCCCCTCCGGCAGAGCTGCTGAGAGAGAGACCCTGGGGCTGGAGTCACTGTAAACTCTCCCGCAGCTACCACGGCTGAAGAGCTGCTGTCATCTGTGTGCATTCGGCACTCCGACCCCAGATCCAGCTAGAGCCTGGGCCCCAGGGACAAACCCAGCCACCTCCTTCGTCCAAATCCCTGTGCCCCATCTTTCCCCTAGCCCCTGCTGGCATCCTCCCCTGGCTTTCTCTTCCCCTCCAGGGATCTGCGGGTTCCTGACGTTTGGCGCGAGCGTGGACCAGGATGTGCTGCTGTCCTACCCCTCCGACGATGTCCCTGTTGCCATTGCACGGGCCTTCATCATCCTCTGCGTGCTGACGTCCTACCCCATCCTGCACTTCTGCGGCAGGTGAGAGGCGTGGGAGGTGGCCAGAAGTGGCGGAAGTGCCCTAAAAGTGTGTGTGTGTGTGTAGGGGGGCCATAGGCACTCAAACCGTGGCCCCCTGCTTGCTCGCCCTTACTATTTGTAAAAAATGGGGAGCATGGCCCCCTAGCCTCCCGTTCCAGTGCCCCTGGAGGTGGCTCGTGGGGCGCTCCAGACTGAATGGATTGGTTCTTCCCTGGGCTGCCATGGTGTCTTCGAGGGACAGGCTGGGCTGTGCCCAGGCCACTAGAGATCCTGCTGTTCTGAACGTACCTATGTCCCTGGTAACCGATCAATGGTGAGGGAATCCCGAAGCTGGGATCTGATACTAGGTCTGGGATCACAGTAGGGAGCCCCCCGATTCTCCCGTCTCTCTGCCTCCTGCACAGGGCTGTGCTAGAGGGGCTCTGGCTACGCTACAAGGGGGAAACGGTGGAGGAAGATGTGGTCCGTGAGAGGCACCGACGTGTGTTCCAGACAGTCTGCTGGTTTCTCCTGACTCTCCTCCTGGCCTTGTTCATCCCAGATATCGGCAAAGTCATCTCTCTCATCGGGGGCCTGGCTGCCTGCTTCATCTTCGTCTTCCCGGGTACGGCCCCCACTTTCCGTGGGTTGGAATGACACGGCAGCCAATCAGAAAGCAGCCAGCCTGTTGAACAATGAGCACGGCGTTTCATTGGGTGGCTGAATTAGGCCCTGGGGTCACACGTCACAGGAACGCTGGAGGTTTATGTGCCAGGAGTCCGTTCTCCTCCAGATCCGTTCCCACTAGGAGATCGGTACAGGCTGTCTGGCTCCATAGCCCATCCATCTCCATGGCGTGGGCGTGGATCAGAGGCAAGTCTCCCCAAACAGAATGCAGCGCATCTCCCTTTGGAGACCTGCTGGCCTGCCGCCTTTGGGACACCGCCACCGAAAGGGCACCCGGGACATGGCTCCGCCCTGAGGCCCCACTCCTGCTCGTCTTTTTCCCTGGAGGCTCTGCCCCCCTCCTCCAAGGCTTCCCTGCCCTGTGCCTCACTCCTTCCTCCCCTTGGGGGAGAGGCGAGGGTGAGGGGCTGGGGAGGGGGGAGTGAGGGCAGGCCTTGGGGCAGAGTGGAGGCAGGGCCATGGTCCAGGTGCCAGTGCACTTCTAGTGAGCTTCAGGCATTCACATCCAGCCTCCCCAAATCCAGGAGTCACGCGCCGCCCATGCGCCATAGTATGCTGAGCGCCGTACAGCCCCTTTGAGGCAAGGTTCCAGGAAAAGATCGATCACTCACTCACAGAAAACAAAACATTATCCCCACCCCACCCCCCTCAAGGACAGGGAGACATCAAGGGCTGAATTCTCAGCAAAGGAGGCCCAAAGTCCGTTCACACTGGCTTCCCCCTCTCCCCCCCCCCCCCCAAATGGCCCCAAATCATTAGAAGTAGCATAGACGAAAGGACTGGTCCTGTGCCCATGTGACGTTAACAGTGTACCACACACTGGTAAGTCACCATGGAGCCAGAGTTGTGATTATGGGATCTACATGGAGCGGGGGAGTGTCCTGAACTTAATACACTTGCTGGGTGAGAGGTGTGGGAGCCCCCCCCCCCCCCACCTGGTTAGCAGGGCACTTAGCACACCTTTCTAAAGGAGGTGGAACTCTTCCCTTCCTAGGTCCCTTTTGAGAAGGCAATAAAATGCAACATTTTGGGACGGAGGGCAAGGCCTGGTGGTACTGATTGATTGTGCTGTCTCCAGCCATGCAAGGGAATCCGGTTCGTTCTTCTAGATTCTTTCTTCTTGTGTCCTCCATGCTCCCGGACAGGAGAGGCTGCATGCTGAAGGGGGTGCAGAGGGAATTCCTCCATCCCTTTAATTAAGTAGCAGCACTGATAGGACAGCTCTTCACAGTCTGTCTGCTCCTCCCAGGCTGGGAGGGTGATGGGTGTCTTATCTTCCCTCTCTCTCACTAGAACAAGTCAAGAAAAAACAGAGGGCTTGTCTGTCTCTCTCTCTCTCTCAAATTCCTGACTCCTCTGCCTTCTGGGTGTGGCTGTTTAATTCTCTACTCAGGAATCTTGTGACTGCTGATCACTGTGATTATTCTGATGTTCCATGTTGTTTGCATTCCCTCCCTGCTAGGACTATGCCTGATTCAAGCCAAACTTTCTGAAATCCAGGAAACCAGGTCAACCAGGTAAAAAGCAAATTTGCCGTCCATTTCTCCCTCCCTTCTCGCAAGATGATTCAGATGTTGGTTCCCATTGGCGGGGTTCAGCCAGACACTGTATCAAGGTGGGTTCCCTTGCCTGACATTGCACACTGACCTGTCTTCTCTGTTCACAGCTGGTGGGTGCTGGTCAGCTATGGGACGTTTATGGTCACGCTTGGAGCCTTCATCTTTGGACAAACCACTGCCAATGCCATCTTTGTGGATCTGATGGCCTGACTCGTTCCACAGGACTGGTTGATGCTGCCCTCCTTAGAAGTAGCTTTTCCTTTGGGACAGCCCAGGACTGAAGGAAAAAATTGCTTTGGCTTTTGATGTTTCCAGAAAGTTGGTTGGAGGGGAACACATTCCTCCCCTGCTGGGGATTTTGTTAGTCTGTTTCATTGGGAGAGTCCTACAGGGTTGTATGTTCATCGTCTAATGCACCAAGTCAGGGTTTTCTTTTAGCTTCTGGTTCCCAGGTCTTGGGAACTGCAGAGGTTCACTACAGAGAATTCAGACGCTGACCCAGTGGGGGTGCACAGCGCGACGCCCTCCTGGAACGAGGTCAGGACGGAGGCCTTTGTGCAGAATGCCCCTGGAGCTCCACGCTGAATTCTTGTTACCCTTTTTTGGGGGACAAATTTCTCAAGTGTGTCTGGGATTCACAGTGTGTAATAGGCAGTAGCCCCCCCCCCCCCCCCAGGGTAGGAGACCATACTACATTGGACTGCATCTCGTCTCTGGCAAATCCTCTCTCCCAAACAAAAGGACCTTAAACTGCCTGTTCTAATCGTGAAATTACTGGTGAGATGTTTGTCGTATAAAGCAAACTGGTAACCTTGCTTTATGAACTTAGGAATTATTCATGTCCAGGTTTTTAGCTTCAGATGATAAAACCACAGGAAATTTTCCCTAAGAAACAATACTTGTATTGATGATCACTCCTTATGGCATGTGTGAGAATGAAGTACTCCATTCTTGCACGATGAGACCATTGTCTCTGTCATGGTAAGAGTGCTTGAAAGGTAAGGGAATAGATATCAGATAAGCTGTAGAAAGGAATGATTTTTAATACACTTGAGTGCAATTCCTCAATCATGCTTCATGGAGAACTCTAGTAATTACATTCCTTTCTTTGTACTAGGCTATCAAGTTAGTTTCTGTAGAAAAATTTCTGCCATATCACTGTTTGTTTGGTTTTTTGTTTTTGTTTTTAAATGCTGGGCTTTCTCATCTCTCTCACTCTCTCATCTAGTCAGTCTTTTCTGTTCTCACTTACCTCAACCAGGGGATTACTTAACCTGCCTCTGATTGGTTTACATTTTTACTGGAGGTGCTGCTGATTGGCTATTTTGTAACAAGCACTTTTTTTTGCTTCTTTGTAATTGGGTGGAAACAGGGCCAGGGAAGAATCTAACAAAGCACATCTGTCCTGACATGCCACTGGGCACCAACAAAGCAGTGTGATGTTTACAAAACCGATGTTTTCCCCTTCATGCATTTGGGGGCGTGATGGCTATTTAGTTAAGGTGCTATGACTCTGTAACAATTTATTTATTGATTCTAGGGTTCAGAGTTTTCAAAGGCTCTTGTCATTTCAAATCCTGTTCTTCCGGGATGGATGTTTGCTGGAAGGGGCTGATAATCTTAGGTTTAAAGGGACACTGTGAGGGCAAAAATCATAATATAATCCACCTGGAGGGCTTTTTAACACCTACAATTATTAAAACTGAGAATTTCTAAATAGCCCAGAGTAAACTACTACTCTATTCACTGTTTGCATTTCTCTGCACTTGGAGGAGGAGAAACAAGCTGGGTCAATTTCACTTTTGTTTTTAGTCAGTTTCACTTTGATGGCCTTAGAGGTTAGCATAGTATCTGGGTTGCAAACTCTGTAGGGGGGTAGTTAGATCTCAGTGGGAAACTGTTCTCATTGGAATTTAAAAACAAACTTTTCTGTTGGTCTGTTTTGTAAAATAAATAAAATAACTCTGCGTTTGTGTTTTACCGTAAAACCTAAATATTGAGCCTATGTTGACTTGACCACTCTTTAATATAGACACATTCTCCAAGGGACCTGCCTCTGTCCCTGAATGTTTGTTCCTACTGCTGGAGAAGCACGTTCCCAGGAACACCAAACTTTACTGACACGGAGATTTGCATAGTGTTACCGACAATGTGGTGGTCAGTATATGAAATGTAACATTCTGTTTTCAATCACGCATTTCTGATCATGTTTCTCTTCTCCTGTGCATAGATGATGTGGGAGGCCTAAGGGGAATCTGTTTAATTCTTTATAAGGTTTGCTCTCTACAAACATTCTTTCCAATAAAACACTACACTAGCACAGCTTCTGAGCATATCACACCCTTGCTCTGTATGCATGTTATCCTCCCCCGCCCCCCCCATTCTGTGATACTAAAAATGTTCAGCTCCCAATGAGGGTGTCGTTAAGCCGGTGCGCTCTCTGAACCAAAGTGGATGTGGTGTCAGTTAAATACTAATTTTAGGCACCCTAATTTTACTTTGTGAAAGGGTGTGTGCTTTAGTATTGCACAGTATGGCTTTCTAGACTCCTGCATTGAAAAGCCTCAACTCAGGCCAGGTCTACACCATGAAGTTTTGGTAGCAGAGCTGTGGCGGTCAGGGGTATGGAAAAACCACCTCTGTAGCTGACCCAGCTATGCCAGCAAAAGCCCTGCTGGAGACCCAGCTGTGCCACCAGAAGAGGGCTTCTGTCAGCACCATGAATGTTGTTCAGGGAGATGGTGTTATTCTGGCTATGTCTACACTTTGACTGCAGCCGCCCTGCTGTAGCGCTTGTCGTTTAGCTCCCGCTTCTCAGGGAGTGGTACCTGATGACCGAACAAGGAGTAATGGTCTCAAGTTGCAGTGGGGGAGGTCTAGGTTGGATATAAGGAAAAACTTTTTCACTAGGAGGGTAGTGAAGCACTGGAATGGGTTACTTAGGGAGATGGTGGAATCTCCTTCCTTAGAGGTTATTAAGGTCAGGCTTGACAAAGCCCTGGCTGGGATGATTTAGGTGGGGTTGGTCCTGCTTTGAGCAGGGGATTGGACTAGATGACCTCCTGAGGTCCCTTCCAACCCTGATAGTCTATGCTTAGTTCTTCCGTTCAGCTTAGGTTGGTTTAAGTATGTCACACGGGTGGATTTTTCACACGCTCGAGCGACATAGCTGCATGAATCGACCTAATGTTTTAGTGTCGACTGGCCTATGCTCACAGAAAAACTGCTGTCAGTATAAGGTGCGTCTACAGGAGGGGGCTCTGCTAGGGTAGCTATACAGTACTGCCAACCCACACTCTGTCTCAGCCCAGTTTCTAGGGACCAGGTGCTCCTATCGCTCAAGGCCGCTGCAAATAAGCCCTGATTCTCAGCAGAGGGTCCAAGGGTTAAATAGGGCCTCGAAGTTGAGCTCCCTCCAGCTGAGGTTTGAGGCAGGTAGGTGGGGCTGCACGAGGGGCCTGCACTGCTCCTAGCTGTGCTCTGCTTGTTTTGCGGCTGATCAAAGGCCATCGGTCTCCAGAGCCGTGGCAATCGGGTACCTTCCATGAGTGCTAACTACATACCTATCCCATGAGTCATTCACTACTGGGCAAATGTTTGGCCCCTGCCACACCAGCTGGGAAGTCCCTGGGAATTTTGGGAGACTTCCCCTGCCTGCCCATGGTCTCAGCTAACCAGGGTTAATGGGTCCAGCTGAGTCATATAGAGCTGAGAACTGGGACTGCTGATCATGTGGCAGACTTCATTGAGTTGTCCATGGTAGTAGGGGCACTGGCCCTTCTGGACCCCAGAGCTGCTACGCGTACTATCCTGCCTCAGCATTACAATCAAGCTGGTCCCTTTAGCACGTCAACTCTGACTGTTGGGAGAGGTGTGCTCTGAGCACAGGCTTGAGCTCCAGGACTCTCTGACTACCGTATCTGGCATTCCCACTTACCAGCTGTGAGACCTTGAGCAAGTTGTTTTGGCTGATATTTTCCAAGAGCCCGAGAGCATTTGTGCCCAAATCCCACAAACGCCTTTGACAGTCCCAGCCTCAATCGCTCTCTGCCTCAGTTTCCCCACTTGTGAAATGGAGATAATTGATTATAAAGTGAGAGAAGGGCTAGCTATTTAATTACAAGGGGGAAATGGTCCAACCCGCTTTGTGGCTACTCCCTGGCTCCAAAATCAGACTAATTCAGTCTGGATTCAGGGTGCTGCTGTGTGTCCTGATAGCTCTGCCCTTATCTCGACCCTCATTCGCTCACAGAAAAGCCCCACCTGCTCTCTCGCTCTGTTCCCTTTATTTCCATTGCTGAGAAGCATAGTAGAAGTATCTCATGTTTGCGTGTCTAGAAGCATAAAGCCAGGTTACGGGTGTCCCAGTCTTTAAGATCACAATGTTCTGGAAAAGTGAGCTGATCATGCATTGCGTCAGTGCCAGTTTATTCAAATCCCATTCGTGTGTGGCCAGCACTGGCCTGCAATTCATGTGAGCCACCATCTGCTTTCTATCCCTGCACCTCCTGGGCCTCCTCTGGCACCTTGGGAACCCCAGTGTGCGTCCAGTTCGAAGAACCCTTCCTCCCGGCCCCACCCACCCTATCACCACACCTTGAGCTATGGAAATAATGCAGCCTGGGGAGAAAGCAGATGGACCGCTGTCTGCTTCTGCAGCCCCTCATCTATCACCGCATTAACATCTGAATCACTGGGCTTGAACAGCCCCCCCCCCCGCTGAAGAACAGGAAAGGCCGAAGTTTCAGAAGGGCTGAGCATCCACGGTCACAGTTGGAGGTGCTCCGTAGGTGCTCGGTACTTCTCAGAAGCAGGATCTAAAGGCTTTTGCTAACCACTGCCTGATGCTCTACTGCAGAGGTTCTCAGCCTTTTTCTTTGTGAGGCCCCTGCCACGCACGTGCTATAAAAACTCCACGGCCCACCTTTGCCACAAGAACTGGTTTTCTGCATCTAAAAGCCAGGGTGGGCATTGGGGGGTAGCAAGCAGGACAATTGCCTGGGGTCCCATGCCACAGGGGCCCTCACAAAGCTACATTGCTCAGGCTTCAGCTTCCGCCCCGGGTGGCGGGGCTCAGGGCCCCAGGCTTCAGCCCCATGTGGTGGGGCTTCGGCTTTCTGCCCTGGGCCCCAGCAACTCTAATGCTGGCCTTGCTTGGAGGCCCCCCTGAAACCTGCTTGGGGGCCCTGGAACCTTGGTTGAGAACCACTGGGCTTCTGGTGGGGAGGGGCAGGGCACTTCTTTAGTACACCCCTCTATGACCCATAAACCAGGAGTTTCTTCTGGAGATGGATCATCTCCACTGCTGTGCCTCCTCCCTGTTAAGCTGCTGCCCCCAGGTCGTGATCTCTAAAGGGGGAGTGGGCAGCTGACTGTATTCCACATAGCTGGAGTGTGCGCTGTGGAATGGCCATTTTGCCGTGCTAACAAACAGGGCTGCTGCTAAGTCACATGATCAGTCAGTTCCCCTCCCCAGCCCGGCTCTGGGTAGGTGGGTTGGGAGTAATTTTTAGGTGTTTTTGTTCCTGTCTCTGCCTCCCCTCACTGGGGGCTTTTAATATGGAAGGGTGGGGGGTCCCAAGCAGCAATGGTAGAAGGGAACCAACGTGGGCCACTTGTCCAGAGCTGAATCACGTGTGTTTGAGTGTAATAACAATCTCTGGAGGAGAGGCACCCAGAGTTTCCCCAAACAAGGGCCACCTTGGCCACTAGCCAGGGTTGGAGGGGCACAGACAGCAGCTGCCTCCCACTACAAGCAGGGCCGGCTCCAGGCACCAGCTTAACAAGCAGGTGCTTGGGGCGGCCAAGGAAGAGGGGCAGCACCTGCAGCGATTTGGGGGCGGCAGGTCCCTCACTCCCTCTGGGAGCGAAGGACCTGCCGCTGAACTGCCGCTGCCAATCGCGGCTTTTTTTTTTTTCCAATTGACGTCGCCGATCGCGATCGCGGCTTTTTTTTTGCTTGGGGTGGCAGAAATGCTGGAGCCGGCCCTGACTACAAGGCATTGTAGCTGATACCATCTCTAATTCAGAGAGGCAGCCTGGCACTGGAGACTACAGCTCCTGGGCTTGCCAGGCAGCTCAGGTCACAGTAGAGCGTTGAATGCTGGGACATGTAGTCTTTGCAGGACATATCTGTGAATTAAAGATGTGGGCTGCATTGTAGAATCTCCTGGGCCATATTAGGGCTTCAAAGTTGACCTTCCCCGCTCCTGGTATAAAGGCTAAAGACTGGAGGCTGCTCTAGTTCTCTTAAAGGGACAGCGTGTTGGTAAAAGCAGACAGGAACACCGTGTCATAGGCCCATGACATAATAAGCATGATGTATCACTTTCCCTTATGCTTTATAATGGGGTGGGGTTTCTTAAAATAAATGTGTATGGATTTTCTATGTACAAAGCAATGAAGGCCTTTAACAAACTGAAGTTGTGTTGCTAGCCTAGGCTGAGTTGTGGCTAGCGTTGGGGGAGAGGTGAGCGCATGTTGCATGCGGCCAACTGCATATGGAAACATCAGCTCAGCCAAGCTCCGAGGACCCACTCGGCACCTGACTGTTTCTGGAGCTTAGTGCCTGGCCCAATGGATTAGGAAGCAGTGACACATGATTCTTCTCTCTGGACCTGACCCCCTACCCCTTGCCTATGGTGACAGTACAAGGCAATCCTCGGTCCCCTCCCACACGCTCCTCTACTCGAATTCCCATCTTCCCCATCTTCCCCACACCTCATCTCACCTCTTGTCCGTTTTCTCTGAGCAGCAGTGGTGCTGGCTGGGATACCATTTAGGAGACAGCCTGGCTGAAGCCCCAGATGCGTTATACACCCAGACAGGATGGGATTTTCAAGAGTGACTTAGGAACATAAGTCCCCTTGAAAATCCACAGTATTTATGCTCCTAAATCCCTTAGCCACACTCAAAAACCCAACTACCTCCTGCTGCTTGGTTCCTGTGGCAGTCCCAGGGAGGCAGTTCCGGGTATACAATGGCGCCA